AGGTTGAGGTGGGAGAGGTGAAGCAGCTGAAGGAGGTGGGGGAGGTGCAGGAGCATGCTCGGGTATTTGAGGATCATCTTCAGTAGTCTGTGACGCATTGTCATCATCTGTAGAAGAGTCATCCATTCCAGCCAGAGGATCCATCGCAATATTGAATGCAAAGTGAAGAAATCGCGTTCAGATAATTTTTTGATGGTGGATTTGATTGTCATCGGCAGGAAAAAATAGCAAGGACAAACAAGCATATCGGATCTCTCATTGACTGGCCAAAATAGCGGTATCTGTCGTATGTCCCCGATTCCAGGACATGGTCACAAACAGGACTAGATTAGCGCAAGCTGTCTTGGGAACAGTGGAGACACAGGGAGACACCCAGGAGGCACCCTAATCATGATCTTTCATATATCTCAAAATGGTAAAGCGCGCCGCAGAATGCCATAAGCTCGTTTGTTTCTTCAATGACCTGATACGCCGAACAAATTTGTATAGAGAACAAGGGCGTTGCCTGACGTCTACATGCCATTGAGCGAAACCTCCTGGCATAAAAAGAACAAATGTTGAAAGATTGCCGTTTCCAAATCGGTACTCAAGGATTTGTTGACATACTTTTGACGGAGCCGGGACATTCAACCTTTCTTCATGCATGCAAGAAACTAATCTCGATATTCAACGCTGATAAAGGCAAGCCACCAAGTTTCAACAAATAAAAATATCAACTCTTTTCTTTCAACTTCCAACGACCTCGTAGCCCGCGAAGCGCATCGTCGCCATGACTCGACGTATGCAGATATCCTCACGAGACAATTCATACACAAGATCTAGTACTAAAGAGGCAACAGAAATTGTTTTGGCTGCACGGAAGACGTGGAAGCTGATGAGGTCGAAGAGGGAGAAGGTCTGGCCTCCGTCAATCGAGGCGGCTCTTATTGAAGGTAGCTCTTGAGCAGTAGATATGTTTTCCCAGCTAACACATTTATTCTAGCACTCCTGAAATATCGACCTCAGTCTACCACGGACATCCAGTACCTTCAGCGATTCCCTAAGCGTAATTGCTGGATATCAAAATTCATCAAGCGACGTACAGGTCATGACAGGTCTCCGAAGCAGGTCGGTAGCCGGCTTCAGCAGCTTAGAGACTCGTGTCGTGATGAACGCAGTGAGTATCTCATGTCTCCTTAGTTCGTTTGAATTCTGAGTTATATTTCAGTACTGAAGCTACTGAGCCGCAAACAGTACGACGACAACGATGGATTCTCGAATTTGCGTGGGTCAACCCCTATCTCAGATTTTACTACCTCTTGTAGTCCTAGTTCTGCTTCATCGTCTTCTCCTGGACGGACAGAGGTTTCTGCAAATGACGCGTCTGCCCTGAAGGCCACCCTCGTTCGTATCGAGTTAACCAGCCCCCTTCTCACTCCGGTCCTTCGATTGCTTTCAACGTAACGGATCCAGAACGAGAGATGGTTCCGACGCTAATCTACATCGACCTGAAATCTGTGTCAACAGTCAACACTGTCTTCTCGTGGAAGAATCCTACGGTCTATTTGTACAGCGCCCAGGTCTTCGATGTCGTAGAGCATCACTGCCTATCGAAAGTGTTCATCGATGGTGCGATGGTGCACTCGCAGCGAACTGAGATAGTCCTCCAGTCCACAATAGCGCAGGCTTGTAACGGGATTACCCAGCAAACATATCTCTACGAGACGAAATTTCTTCCCAATTCCTGGACTGAATGTTTCTCCTCAACTGGTGAGTCATTGACTAGATATGTGCATGTACTAGAAGTCAGACTTGTCCAACCTCTAGACATGGCTTGCTGTGATGTTCAACAGTTAGTTGTCAAACGACCCCGAGCCACTACCCAGGATGATCCGGACTTTCTGTCTCTGAAGGAACGTCCAGAAGATGAAGTTATGCATACCGTCCGATATACATTTGCTGACCTTCGATCATCGACGACGCCAGACGGGTCCATTGAAGTATGGACACCGCCTTTGAAAGAGGCTTTGACTGAGGATCCTTCCACTGAATGTGTTGTTCAACCCTCAGATGCCCTTGGTCTCGATGCACCTTCCTTTCTTTCACATGCGGAGCCTCCCGCAGACGGTAGAGCTCATTTCCCGGTAAAAGAGGAGTCATCTCCCAATACTCGGGAGTATCATATATTCCCTTCATCTCCTTCCTTATCTTCCGAAGGCATACCCACACCTTCAATCCAAAGTACTCATGATCTTCCGGATCGCGAATACAGTCCGACCTACGAGTTCGATTTGAGACATTCTGCCTCCATACCTGCGTCAGTCAGCAGTTCCATGTATATCGTGCCAGTAGGATCTACTCCGCAGTATACTTATCCATCGACGATCCCTCATACGGAATGGCAACGTCAAGGTCAATGGATGGAGCAGGCTCAGGAGTATTGCCAGCGACCCACCACAAGTGACAAACAATATGCATATTTCTGGGAGCAACCTATTCCACAGAGTCACCCCTCATTTTATAACAGATATGACGACTTGGCCAACACAGAAATCGAGCCCCTGAAATCGTATCTCTATTCGCAGTCTGAATGTTCGCCGCCGTCTTCGACTTTGCTGCCTTCCTCCACCTACTGTTCGAGACAACACGACCAGCAACCACACGATGGTGCGTACGCTGGTTATGGAAAAATCTCGCACTCTTTCAGGTGTGATGGGAACAATGGCTCGAGTTCAAATGTTGCGGACATTCCAGACGCTGTGGTCCCGGTGTACTCCCATCTGCCTTCTTCGCCAACTTACTGTGCCCAAGAGATCGGGAATGGTTACCAGATGTATCCATGGACCTAGGCCTGTGGTCCGTCTTGAGATGTTTTTATGCTGCATGCACACTTATGATTGAATGTGAACGTTTATGACTTACTTTATTTCTCTTAATCCTCATCACGAACATGATACAGCCCTACTCCTATGCCTTCATCTTACAAAATACTACATACTATAATGGTCGCATTTATTCATTGTACTGTATATAATATCTCGTGTACTTACCTTCTTTTCTATGTATCTACTGTTAAGTACCGGAATTGGCGGTATTTTGATTACGATATCCGAGGATAGCTGGTGCCGTAACTTCTCGGCAGAAAGATTTGTCGATTTTCACTCTCTGGACACTTTCATGAGAGGTTCAAGTTCAAGCTTCCAGTCGTAAATCACTAGAAGCGCTTCCCTGATCATAGATGCAGATATGACTTCACCTCCAAAATTCCTGCCTTCTGCTTGTTCATCTGACGTGCATTCGCCACTATCTGGATCGGAATCTTGGACTTCCCTCATAGAGTGTCCTGCGGACTTTCCGGAGGAGCTCGTAGGTCTCTAGAAATGCAGAAATTTCCAACTTTCATTGAAATTTTACTCCTAGTTTGATACCGCCGTATCGCAACTCATTCATCATCCAGAATACAACTCTACTTTAATTCTACGCTCAGAGACTATTTGTGACAGCTTCGATGTCTCTGGATTTTCTCCACTGATACCAACGCTGGATGGTTTTCAGAAAAGTCGGTGTATCCATAGAAAAATTCTACCTCGAAGACCAGGTCGAGATGCAAGCTTGGAGCAGTACTGCACTTTATACAACGGAACCTCGAGACCATCGCATACTGTACTGATTTTGACTCCAATATTTTCCGAAAAGGACCCTCTGCCCTACTACCACCCCCGAGTGGCCCATCTAGCATTCCGGTACATACAATCTCACGATACAGAGTCAGGCTCCGCTCTCCTTCGCATCGAAGCCATTCCACTACCCGACACGCCTTTGGACCAAAACTCAAGGCTCTTCCGTACCTCCTTGGCTCTGCTGGAAACTCTCCACCGCTATGGATGGGGTGCGATGACAAATTACCGAAAGCGGGTGAATCATGATGTGCTTGTCCCTCGAGAACCTTATCAGGACTTGTATCTTGTCATGCGGGAGAGACATAAAGGCTTGGTGGATACTTGGCAGGAGGTTACCGATCCATTAAAACATGTTTTTGAGGTGCGTGAACAAATACGTTGGATATGTTGCATTCTGACGCGGTGATAAATGCTAGGACATCGGGATCGCTACTTATCTCATGCTCCTGTGGAAAATTACTTTTGGAAATGAGGAGATGGAAACAGATATGACAACTGGAGAGCCTTGGAGGAAGTGGCCACGACCCCCCGCAGGGTTCATCGACATCGGGTTTGTACTTCTACATATGTTTGTGCGGTACTAAGATCCATACACAGATGCGGAAATGGACTATTGACTCACATTCTAACCTCAGAGGGCTACGAAGGTCATGGAATCGATGTCCGCGAAAGGACATCCTGGAAGTTTTATCCTTCAGACACTCAAAAGCATCTACATGTTCATGCGTTCAATCCACTAGACTTTGACAACAAATTCTTTCCTCCAGACGTTTTCGTCGTCGCCAACCATGCAGACGAGCTCACGCCTTGGGCACCGGTGCTCTCAACACTCTGCTCTGCTTCAGGATACTTGTCAATACCTTGTTGCGCGTGGGACTTTGATGTTCGCTACGAGCGCTCTGAGAAGACTATGTTTCCTATTCCGAATCACAATCCTGCATCAAACCTTGAAGACTTTATCAAAACTCTCAACCTCGGGGGCGATGGAAGCAACTCGAGTGGGTATTCAATGTACAGGATTTGGTTGGCAACTCTAAGTGCTCACAGTGGATGGGAGGTGGAGTGTGAGACGTTGAGAATTCCCAGTACAAGAAATTGGGCGATCGTTGGTGTGTCTTTGGTGATACCCTCTTATGGCTAGAGAAAGCTCACAGATCGTGGATAGGTCGTGGACATTTAATTTCTAAAGAAGAGTCGGTCAAGAATGTCAATAAGATCGTACAGAAGGTGAAGGAGCGGTCACTATTTAAGCCTAGAAAACCTGAAGGAAAGAGCCATTAAAATGTAGTCAATTTATAGCGTAGGTGTTGAGAATAGACAAACTGTTGTCAAGATAAGTATGTCCGCGTAACTCAGTGGTAGAGTGTGAGATTGCAACTGTCATGCGTTTATCTTGAAGCCGCGTGTTCGAACCACGCCGCGGACTCTTTTTTGATTTTGATTTTGGTGGTGGTGGTGCCAAATTGTACAGTTTGTGTGCTAGTGAGTCCTTTGTCGATCAGGGATCCACCAGAAGATTTCTATCACGAGTGAAAAATCGAGTTTCAGTCTGTTCAAAATCAATGCTCTTTTCCTTGTACAACGAGTTATAAAAGCTGTGACCTACTCTGTATACTGCAGTACCGATTTGTCTGAACATGAAGTCGAGCATTACCCCGTTGCCTTACCTTCGCATACATCCCCAACCCGATCGACATGGGTATTACGAGCTCAAAATCATGGCGGTGGGAGCAAATTGTGGATCCGATGATAATCAAAGCAATGACGAATATTTACAAGTTCTCGGGTTTTTTTCCCATCATATCGGCGTCGTACTTCAGACGTACACGATCCAGACGGAACATTGCAGCAGGAGGATTTTGAAGACTACGAGCATCTTGGGCGGAACCATCTAGTTGTTATTGCGAATGGTTGATAAGACAAACGTGTCACTGACCAAACTGAGAGAATTCTGGTGCTTGATTGAGGGAGATACGTGGATGGCTCAGATGCTGCTAACCTCATGTTGGAAGAGAACTGGAAGCTGAAGGCTGACTTTGTTGTCGTAGTTTGATTAGACAATGATTCGGAGGTGTACTCGTGCCCGACACTTTTCCGCCATTTCTAGTACCCTGGTTCCTTTTCGAAACGCAGTGATTTCTGCATTGTCTATCTCTTGAAAAGGATTTACCTTTTCCAAACCAACTGTAGAGGAATTGCTGAAAACATGACCAAAATCAGGTATGAGATTCTGGAGTGAACATGTCGTAGCAGACTACAAAAGTCATAGATGTATGAAAGGTGCTGTTGATGTTTGAGCAGCGGTTCTACCGATGGAGAGTACACGTAACGCAGACTACGAATACGCCACGAACGACTCCACAGGGGCAAGAGGTGTCACCAGGACCGTAACCTTATCAAATGAACTTGGGACTCAGCCGGGAGCTGAATCGTAACTCACCAAGCTAATCTTCGTCAATCGAAGAGTAGTACCACCGCGGTTCCTGATCCTTGCAAACATCCAGCTCCCGCCTCAGAAGTCGAATAACATCCTCTTCCTCATCTCGGGCCAAGTTTTCACGGTGAATGGTGTAGCTATCGTACAGAGCTATCTCCATGTCATAGTCACCGCGAGGCATGACGAACTGAAAGTCGTGCCGACAGACTTTACAGAGGTGTTTGACAACGTCTTCCATGATGAATGCCCACATCAAAGTTTTGGTGTGACAATTAGGCAAAGGCAAGCCGTGCGTCCGGTGATATTCAAGGACGTCCCGAATGTTGGCACCGAATCCATAGAAGAGTTTTTCAGGCTTCTGATATTTTGCGTCTCGTTTCAAGCGTCTACGGTCCAGTCGAAGCTCATAAGGGAGATGCTTCCCGGGTGGGGGACAGTCTTCATCATCGCTAGGGACCTGGAAGAGTGTCAGTGAAATAAATGCGCCCGTCCAGGCTGAGCCGTCACCGGTGAGGAAGGTGCCGAGATTGGAGGAGGTGTGTATATCTCCTCAAGTGAAAGTGATGAGGAGGTTGTCGATTTCATGGTCAAGACTCAATAGCTCGGCACCCCTGAAGTGTTTCTCTACATATGACCTGCACGTGATACTTGAGCGACCGCGTGAACGCGTTATCTTGCTTGAATATGAGTTAATATCAACTGGATAGCACAATATTTGTCATACTTAAAGAGGGTACTAAGGATGATGAGCATGTAGTTACTTATACATGTAATCAACCATCAATGGAAAGGCCCGGTATAGCAGATATACTTAAAACATCTAGGAAAATGACTTCTTCCGAGTCCCCTTAGTTTGTACTGTGAAGTGTAGCCTACTAGCTATCAGATGTGCATTTGTGGTACTACCAACATGGGCAAGGGGGATTTCGAGCTCAAACTCGGCAGCTTCTCTGAAAACAATCTACACCAGGCAGGCCCTGTCACAAGGGAGGGGGTGAAGGAGGACAAATTATGCATGAAGCGTGCGTAATACTTTTGCGCCATTTCTATTGCACGAACCTGTTTCGTTTTGAAAGGCAGTGAGTTCGATTCGCAATTTCAAGGTTATTTGTCCTAACAAGAAGTTCTGGGACCCGATCTAAGCCAACTCTGAAGGAATGCACGAAAACATTGAGATGTATCAATGAGATAAATTGTGAAGTGGACATGTGGCAGAATGATACAATAGACAAAGATAGATGTGTTGAGGGTGCTGTAGCGGTTCTACCGATGGAGAGCGCAGACTACGAATACGCCGAGCGATTCCACACTGGCAAGACGTGTCACCAGGATCGTAACCTTGAACTTGGGTCTCAGCCGGATGTCCAAATGTTCATCGCAACTCACCAAGCTAATCTTCGCAAAGGTCAATACGAGAATAATACCACCGCGGTTCCTGATCCTTGCAAACATCCAGCTCTTGCCTCAGAAGTCGGATAACATCCTCTTCTTCATCTCGTGCTAAGTTTTCACGGTGAATGGTGTAGCTATCATACAGAGCTATCTCCATGTCGTAGTAAGCGCGAGGCATGACGAACTGAAAGTCGTGTCGACAAATTTGACGGAGGTGTTTGACAACGTCTTTCATGATGGATAACCACAGCATATGTTTGGTGCGGTATTTAGGCAAAGGCAAGTGGTGCGTCTGGTGATATTCAAGGCAGTCCCGAATGTTGACACCGAATCCATAGAAGAGTTTTTCGGGTTTCCGATATTTCGCATCTCGTTTGAGGCGTTTACGGTCCAGTCGAAGTTCATTAGGGAGATGCTTTCCAGGAGGGGGACAGTCTTCGTCATGGTCAGGGTCCTAGAGGAGTGTCAGTCAAAATTTCGCGACTATCAAGGCTGATTCTTACCCCTGTAGCTGGTTCTGGAGGCGGTGTGTATATCTCCTCAAGTGAAAGTGATGAGCAGGTTGTCGATGTCATCATTCATGGTCAATAGCTCGGCACACCCCTGAAGTTTTTGTCTACATATGACTTGCACGTGATACTTGAGCGAGGTTAGCAGACGCGAACCCGTTCTAAGACTAAGTTCTTGCTTGAATACTCACACATGTGGAAATATCAACTGATCAGCACGATATCTGCCACAAAGGTACTAGGGATGATGAGCATGTAGGTATGCATGTAACCAACCTCAACGGTGTTGTCAAAGCGGGTCTGAGAGTTATGAGAAAATGTAAGTGCTTTATTATTAATTATTGCTGCTCCTGGTTCCGACCACTGTCTAGCTCTTGCCTCCGGACTTGGAAAATGACTTCCTCCCCTTAGTTTGTACTGTGGAGTGTAGACTAGTAGCTATCATATGTGCATTCGTGGTACTACCAACATGGGTAATGGGCATTTCGAGCTCAAAATCGGCAGCTTCTCTGAAAACAATCTACGCCAGGCAGGCCCTGTCACAAGGGAGGTGGTGAAGGAGGACAAATTATGCATCAAGCATGCGTAATACTTTTGCGCCATTTCTGTGGCACGAACCTGGTCCTTTTGGAAAGGCAGTGAGTTCAATTCGCAATTTCAAGGTGGTTACAAGAGAGACATTCGAGTGGTAGCTGACAGAGATGTATGAGAGGTGGTCAAGTAGCAGTCCTACCGATGGAGAGTGCACATAACGGAAACTACGAATACGCTGAGCGATTCCACCACCGACGAGACGTGCCCCCAGGATCGTAACCTTATCAATGAACTTGGTGTCAGCCGGGTCGAATGTCCAAGTGTTGAGCGTAACTCACCCAGCTAATCTTCGCAGAGGTCAATCGAAGAGTAGTACCACCGCGGTTCCTGATTCTTGCAGACATCCAACTCCTGCCTCAAAAGGCGAATAACATCCTCTTCCTCATCTCGTGCTAAATTTTCACGGTGAATGGTGTAGCTATCGTACAGAGCTATCTCCATGTCGTAGTAAGCACGAGGCATGACGAACTGAAAGTCGTGCCGACAGACTTGACGGAGGTGTTTTACAACGTCTTTCATGATGGATAACCACAGCATTTGTTTGTTGCAGTATTTGGGCAAAGGCAAGTTGTGAGTCCGGTGATATTCAAGGCAGTCCTCAATGTTGACACCGAATCCATAGAAGAGTTTTTCGGGTTTCCGATATTTCGCATCTCGTTTGAGGCGTCGACGGTCCAGTCGAAGCTCGTAAGGGAGATGCTTCCCGGCAGGAGGACAGTCTTCATCATCGTCAGGAGCCTGGAAGAGTGTGAGTGAAATGTACGTGCCCGTCGAAGCTGAGTCTCACCACTGTGGATGATACCGAAGCTGGAGGCGGTGTGTATATCTCTTCAAGTGAGAGTGAGCTGGAGGCTGTCGATGTCATGGTTGAAGCTTTGAAGGATGCCAAGGTGAAGTTTGTTCTTTAAAGCCCCGACCAAACCTTCCCACGATCATTTCATTGTTTTCTTTCCATTGTTCAATCATTAGCTTGACCCTATCAGAGCCTCTGTCGATTTTTATAAACTCTCCACGTATTTCCAGTCATGGACAATTTTGAACATCAAACAGCTTACAACGATCCCTCAGTAAGTCCGCCTTTGTTGTTGCGCGGAAACGGTATAATAAAACTCTCTGCTATAGGTCCTCCTTTACACCGAGAAGGAGTTCTTCGCTCTCCTCGAGAGCAATATCCAAGTCGCTCAGCTCGACTCGAAATCCGAGTCCAGGCTCTACCCCCTTTTGAGTCGCATTGTGTCTGATCTTTGTCTGGTTGCCAAATCTAAGGATGAGAGTCAGAACCCCTTCATACTCCAATGCCACAATCAAGCTTGGTTCGGACATGAGCAGATGTCCACTTTTCGTCTCCCGGACTGTGCAGGCTGTATCTATGATCCAATCCGTAACCTTCTGGTTGCGCCAGCGTTTTGGATAGAAGCCAAGCGATCGGAGCTAAGGAAGGGTGATTCTGATTGGCGTACTTCCCGTACTGCTGAGGGCCGTGCCTCAGAGCAA